TACCTTGTAATTATACAAGGAGGTTGTTTCCATAGCGACCCAAGGTGCGTTGCATCGTTTGATATATTTTTTTTCTAGAAACTTCACTAATAGAAGAAGCACTAGAATTTAATTGAGTCATTTTGATCTAGTCCATTATTAGCATTATGCCAGGAGAATTGTCAAAATTGACTCTTCCAGCTCCATATGCAATATGCAATGGACAGATTGGATAACATTGATAAAACTATGTAAAATATATAAAATCCACTCTAATGCAAAGAGACTAAGTCTCTACTTGGGTCTAAAATGGACTTAAGGGTAGATTGAGTCTCTTTTTCTGGTTGCCACCTCAGCAGGATCCGGTCTACTTTTATTTGCATTGGAGGATATATGTTTTTAGACTGGGTCTATTTCTTATGAGGCATATAATTTTTTGTGGTTGAACCCAAAGCATTGTGGATGCTTTAAGTCAAACTAGCTAAGTGATAGATTATAATTGAATTCCAAGTTTATAGCTGATAGTTTTTGACAAATGATTGAAAAACAAGCTGATATATAAACAATGTTTGATAAAATTAGCGCTACAAGTCTGACTGAAATAAAACTATCAAAAAACTTTCTTGAAAGCTACTTGTAGAAACTTATGGGATAGCATCCAAATTATTTGAATACAAGAAATTTCCAAGCTTGCTCATAATGCTTAATCACGCTCTAACCCAAACAGAAAAAAAATAATAATAATAATTATGAAGTACCTTTGAAAGGTGTGGAAGCCCATAAGGTGCAGCATAATACCAAGCCCAACCAACGCATTTCCACATAAAGCCCAGCCCAAAAACTCTGACCAGCTGCAAAACCACAGCCCAGCCCATTACTGCCAACAGCAGAAGCCCTAAAACAACATACTCTTTTCTTCTTCTCCTCCTCCGGCAATTCTTCGAAATCCAACCGGAAAATTAAATTAAATTAAAAAAAAAAAAACAGAAATTTGAAAAATGTGAGCTTCAAAATCGCCAACAATCTCAGCTCGCGAACACTAATTAGCACATCAAAATTGAAAACGAGGTTACCTTATGAGCAAACCAGATTCTCGCAATGTCTTTATTTCTGGGTCGATTACTGTGGAATTTCTTGAACATGTTGATGAATTTGAGCTTTAATGTTTTTGAATTTAAGGATAATGGGGATTTGGGTTTGGATTTGATGTCCAAGGTGTACGGGTGGAGCTCGAGATGTAATGAGAATCGGAGAAGCTTGCGGACAAGCAAAAATTTGGGTAGCTTGAATTTGAGATCCAAGGACTTGGACTTGGCTCGAAGGGTGATGGTCCACGGCCGCCGCTGGTCTAGGTGCGCCATTGGCGGCGGACGATGACGGCGCTTGCGAATTGAGAGATGTGTGGGGTTTGCTTTCTCAGCTATTACTTACTAGCCGTTTTTGTAACGGGTTTGCCTGAATTCGAGGGACAATTCGGATATGGTCCACATTGATAGTACAGTCCATTTTCAACTTTTGTTTACAAGTGATCAAGCATCAATGGGCCTGAAGCCCAAGTAGATAAAAAGGCCTTCAAAAGAAATAAGGTGATGAGAGTATTTGATGTCCTGATACGTAAACACAGGCGGCCTGTCCGCTAAATATGGGCCTTAGCCTTGCTCTAGCCTTTAACGAGTCAAAAATTGAGCTCGAGTGATCGTTTATCAATATTAATGAGCCGATTTGAGCTTTAACGAGATGAACTATAGAAAATCATATGAGAAATCAGTTTTCAAGCCTTATCGAGTCGAACATAATTCGTTAATGAAATGAGCTTTAAGCGACTCATTAATAGCAATCCATATGAAGGATAACTTCATAGGGTAAATACTAAATTATACTACCACTAAATAGACATAAACCTACACAACTCCACATCTCCATTTAATATTTACAAGAACAAACACAAACACGCCCAGTTTGAAAATTGGGGTCACTTTTAGAAATGACATTAAATTATAAAAATATCTATATGTATCTCATCCATATATTATTGAACATACATTGGAATACATGGGGATGGGCAATTGATGGCAGCCCATATTTCCCAATTAATAATGGAGATGGGACAGATATTTGAGTAAAAATAAACTAATGTGATGAATAAAACTCAAGTCAATAACTATTAGTATAACTTAAATTTAAATTTTGAATTTATGGCCCCATTTAAAACTGTACACCAAAACGCATTAAATTTTGAGACCCATATCGGGCTTCAGTTAGGTGATGATTTTAATTTTTAGGCAAGTAGTTAATTAATGAAAAAAAAAATACAATCTATATATATATATAATTACTAGCTAATAACATTTAATAAAACCTATTTAATTTTACCTATGTGGCAATTTAATCATTTTCTCTCCAAAAATCGTTACTTTTGATGTATTTAATCTTTCATTTAATTATTAAATAATCAACACTAATCACTTCAAAATTACAAATATCATTTTAAACTTTTGATTATTGACAGTTGACCATATAATGTGTTGACCGTATAATGTGATTAGATGTTATTATTGTGGTTACATTTAAATTATTTTTTTAAATAAAAAAACGTATTTGAAATTCCTAAATAAATAATAAACTATTCACAAAAAAAAAAACATTCAAAATATACATTACATCCAATCAGATAAACACAATTTCAAAAATAAATATTCTAACTTCTTTAATTGTAATTTGGCCAGCAAAAAGGTGAAAAAAATAATTAATCATTATATGCATACAAATAACTCACAATACTTTATTTACGTTTGTGCAAATGCATAAGATCGAATACTAGTACTAAGTATTAGTTAATTTGACCTGGGCAGTAGTCAATATTCGGACCATATATGACACCAATAATAAATATTTAAATTTGATAATATAATAAATAACGTTGATTTCGTTTAGTTCGGGTTATTAATGTTACTTGTATATCCAAGTTAGCTATTGAAACACCATTTAAATTGGGCTTCGTTTCATTCGACTTAGAGTATCTTTAAAAGACAAATTTGTTATCTATGGTGAGACATGCATAGTTCAAGAAGAAAGAAATTCAATTAATTCTGCCTGCAATGAATAATTTTTTTATTATTAATTTATTGGAAATAAATATGTTGAAATTTTTTCGTACAACTATTATTTGTACAAATTTTCCTAACTAGTACAAATCATTTGATTCACGTACGAGACAGTTGTCAGTCACTGAGTCGCATGAGCTACCTATTTTTAATGTCAAATTATATATATATATATATATATATAAGTTCATTCCAATGTTTGTAATTCTCACCTGCCCACCAATAATACACATTTCACGTGCAAAAGTACTGATAAATGCTGATATTATTATTTACTTTTGTTACTACTCGCCCTACTATATATTATCATTTAATTAATTATTTAGTTAAGCTCAGATGTGATATTTGCATGTATATATCTCTTTTTAAGTGATGAGTATTTTAAGGGTCGTATATGTCTGTAATTGATCTAAACAAGTAAAAAGCAAAAACAAGACCCGGAAATTCATTTCATTACAAAAAAAAAACATGCATATATATAGTCGAAACCGTAAAGACAGATTCGACTCGACTCGATTCAATTAACCAGCGGAGCATGGGAATGAAAACTTAGATTTACCCATGGTAAACAAAACAACCTATGTCCCATATCTCCTTTTATTTCGACTCAATATATATCAATAATACTACAAATTATATATTATTTATACGCTACGGCTCGCTCGATCAACACACAAACCCAACTTCAGTATCCGCCGCGCGTTTCCTCCTCGCAAACTCAGTTAACCCTGCACCCATAACCGAATCACCAAACCAATCAATTTCAATAACCGAGCTACATGAACAACGTTAATCAAACGAAAAAAAATGTGTCGGGTAAAAAAAAAAAAAGTGTTGTCGTGTAGTGTCGTTCAGAATTAGTCAAAATCGAGTCAACCTCAATTTTTTCATACTGATTTTCTAACAGTTTGTAAAGTAGTACACAAACGAAACCAACGTTAATCAAACCGAACCGAAAAATAAAAGTGTTGTGTCGTTCAAAATAAATCAAAATCTGGTCAAACCCTAACAGTTCCTTGGTACCTATTGCAGTCGGTGGAGGGACTGATCTTGTAAGCAACATTGACGCCGCATTGACTGGGTAGCTTGGCGGCCTTGCCCAAATCGACTCCACGATACGCGTTGGCGAGATTTTTAAGGCAGCGGCAAACTGTCTGGCGGTCCGCAGTGGTGGTGGCGGCCCCGTACAGTCGTTTGACCCCATTGCAGCACCCACCGAGCGCGCCTCCGCGAGTCACGTACGGGATGCAAGGGGTAAGGTTCGAGGCCACTGTCCCACAGGAGACCACCGCCTCTGCTGGCGGCGACATGACCACCGCCAGCAGAACGGCGGCAATGAGGGTGGCGTAGAGGGACTTCACTTGGCCAGCCATGTTAACTATTTGACACTTATATTTATTTTTGTTTTTTATAAATATTTTTTGTTGCTAAGGAATTTTGGGATGGGTTTTAGTGAAGCTAGGAAAGGGTGTTTATATAGAGGATTAGTTAGCATGGAATTTTGTGGGTTGTGTTAATAATAATAGTGAGGTGTATGTGTGTGTGACGGGTGTGCATTGTTAGGTGGTGGTTGGCTGGATAAATTGAATGCCGAATAAATATTGGCGTATGATTTGGGGTGCAATTTCACGAGCTTTTAATAATAAGAAAAAGTCCAATTTTGTGGCTCTGGTTGGCTTCACGGGAAGTATTGCAAGTTTGGAACATGTGGTGTATTAATTACGTGTCTGTGTATATACACAAATATAAACAAAATTTTAGTACTATGTTATAGTATATAAATGCGTGTTATGTAAAACTTAGAAATCACAAAGTTGATAATGAGCATATCACATTTACAAATTTTATCATGATTAAAATGACGATATAGATATAAACCAATTAATTTACATATTGATCTTTAAATTTATGCCATCTTGGTTGATTATGACAATTAATTGGATAAAAAATATTAAAATTCTTATAATAGCAATTGTGCATAAAACTTTAAAGGGTTTGGTTATGCCGTAAAAAATAATTAACTAATTTTAATTAAAAAAACTTGATTAATGAGGTGAAAAAAATGGTAATTTTAAATATATAGTTTGAAAAAGGTTTTTAATAGAATAACATTTTTTTTTTTTTCATTATATTAGTTAACTAGTACAATGTCCGTGTATTACACGGGTGCTTGCTAATTTTTTTCTTAAAATTTAAAATTAATGACAAAAAGTAGTTGAAAATTTAAATACCTTATATATATATATATATATATATTATATTTAGTATAAATTTTTTATTTGTGCGACTTACCTGTGTTATATTATAATATTTTTTTATAACTTACAACATATAACTACATTAAATATATATATATATATATATCAATTGAAAAATAATTTTATTTTGTTAATGAATTTTAATAAATGTTATTACTTTTTATTATTATAAAGATAAATATAATTTATTTATTTCATATATACAATATGTATGTCAAACTGAAGATTATCAAAAGATAATTAATTTGATATATTATATATGTAAAACCGATAAAAAATACAAAAGGTATCAACTTTTAAAATAATTTACAATTCAACAGCTAATTGAAGGAAACAATACAAAAGTTATGGATATATTAGTCACTTAGTGCCTTACTATGTAAAATTACAAATAATTAAAGAGTTATATTAATACAAGTGATATTAAAATACCTAAGTTAGCTAAATAATGTTTGTGGAATGTTCGAATCTAGATTATTAATTATTAATATATCAATATTATTTGTCTAAACCTAATTACGAAGCATGATTCTTCGCGAAGTAGGATTTCGAAGCACCAGAAACAACCACGTCGACTCAGCGCATTTGAGAATTATATATAGAGGGATAGTAGCAGTTATATAATAAAATAAATAAAAATATACTACAAAAGCAACGGAAAACAGCGGGAAAACGAAAAGAATTTTATGAATTACTTTGGTAGCAATTATATAGATATAAATGATAGGAAGTGATGATTAGTTAAAACATTATATGTTGATAACACATGTATGGAAATTATATAAATTGAAATTGGAAAGGTATATATATCACGTATGTTAAGTGATCATATTAATGTAGACTAGCAATATGCATGCTAGTGTTGTTGTGTGGGTACAATTTTAAGTTACCAATACCAATTTCCATATAATTAATTAGTAAAGATTAATGGTGCAATTTATATATATTTTTTTTAGTAAAATATTAGAAATTTCTTCATAAATTGATGAATTGCCAACATTCTGTTAGGTGCTGAATGTTGGCCTACAAAAAGGCAACATGTCCAACAACTAAGTGTAGCAGAGATGCGTATGTTCTGTCGGTTTTGTTGGCACACAAGAAGTGATAGAATCTGGAATGCGGATATTCGAGATAGGGTCGGGGTGACTCCAATTGAGGAGAAATTGGTTCAATGCCGGTTGAGGTGGTTCTAACATGTCCAACGGAGGCCTCTTGATGCACCGGTGCGTAGGGGAGTTCTACAGCAGGTCGATGATGTAATGAGATGTAGAGGTCGGCCTAAATTCACTTGGGAATAGTCGGTTAAGAGAGACCTTAAATATTAGAATATATCCCCAAGGATTTAGCAGTCGATTAAGAGAGACATTGTAGAGGCTAGCAATCAACGTGCCAGAACCGTGACTTTTGCTCCTTTCTCTTTTGCTCTAATCTCTTCCTTTTGTTTTTGAACCCTTTTGTGTTTCTATTACCATTATCCTCTAGCCTACCCTAACTTGCTTGGGACAAAAAAATATGTTATTGTTGTTGTTGTTGTTGTTGTTGTTGCATCATTACATTATTCATAAATAATTATGGATAGCTTTTTAATTCATGTCATCGGATGTTTACATACCAAAAATGCACATTTATTTAAAGTCATTTTTCTTTTTTGTTACATTTTCAAGGTAGCCGTGTCATTCGATAACTCCTTGAAGGTTTTTCGCACGTGCGATGTACATGTTATTTTCAATGTATACTTGTTCATCATTTCTCTTTCTTTTTTTTTTCTTTTGATTTTTGGTGTTCACCAATCAAAGTTAGGTAGAATAAATTGAGCAAATTAAACAAGGACGTCACATTTCATTGCACACAAGTAACAATAACAGAATATATAACACCACATACGTACGTAAATTATAAAGATTAAACTAAAAAAGAAAATTTGCGCCACAGTACTGCTGGAATTAAAAGCATAAAAGGAATATATGTTCCCCTCGGCCGGCCTGGAAGAGAAGACCCAATCACTTCTATTATTTCACCCTGCAACAAAATAAAATGTACAACCAAATATTAATTAATGTCTCACAGAAGAATAATATATGTACGAATAATAAAGCTACTTTCACACAATACTTTGATATTAATTAATAAGAATATATGGCAGAAAATGATATACATGTTTAAAAGTAAAGTAACGTGTAAAACATCTAAACTATTTTCATAATGCATTTCAATTTACATCTAAAACGTCTTACCTAAACTATAAAAATTAACCAAAAAAAAAACGTAACATTCAATTATCGTATAGTAATAATAAAAATTGTTACTTGTTACAATTTTTTTTTTTTTTTTTTTTGAAAACGAAATAGTAGTAATAATAATAAATAAATAAATAAATAAAACTTTTATTGTTACTTGGTGCAATCAATGGAGGGCGAGATTTGGTAGGGAATGAAAACCCGGCATTTTCCCGGCAGAGCCTTGGCGTTGGCGACGGCTTTCGGGGAGGCTGTTTTCGTGACGGATTTCAGGC